CTGGCTGGTGTAGCGGGAATGAGTACTGGATCAGTACTAAAGTTGGACGAGGGGGGGGGGGGTTACTTCTGAGGAGGGGGAGGAAGGTGGAGCGGAGTCCCACAAGGCTCTGTACTAGAGCCCACTCTGTTTCCGTCATATGTCAACGGCTTAACAAAGGAAATAAGTCTTCTTCGTGTCGATGTTTAATGATGATGTAACGCTAATGAAACGACTCGGAACAACAGAGTTGAACTGCGATACATTGTCAGATGAACTAGGCACACACACACACACACACACAGACACAACTAGGTGAGTACAACTAGGTGAGTACACACACACACACACACACACACACACACACACACACACACACACACACACACACACACACACACACACCAGAGGTCTGATAAAAGGCTGCTGGATTTTAACCCAGATTAACACCACGTTATGAGGAAAGGAATATAAGTGAGAAGGAATATAAGTTGAGACCATCTCAGCAAGAAGGTCAGGCAGCTTCCTGCATCATAAAAGGGGCAAGACTTGAGAGAAGACGCCGCCCCAGATCTAACACAAGAGCAACACGTCACCACCCGCCAAACTGGCAAATTCGGGAATATTCTTCGGGAACTTGGACAAAGGAGTCTTCCGAGCGCTATCTGCACACTATGGAACTCGTCGAACTCATCCCTAATCATAAAATCAAACTATATATGATCCCTACACATGCAACAATGGTTTCTGAGCTGAGGGGAGTGAACGACGAGGAGAGACTGCGGGAAGTTGACCTCGCCACACTGCAGGCAAGACAAGAGAGGAGACATAATAGAGACATTCAAGATTCTAAGGGACATTGACTAAGTAAACAACACTTATTGTTAGAAGCTGGGAGAGTATAACGAGAGGACCAAGATGGAAACTAGTGACACGAAGGCATTACAGATATGTTAGACAGAATTTCTTTATTGACTTGGAAATAAATTAAATGAATTTCACGAAAAACTTACCAAGAGCAAATTCGATACATAATTCTAAATTTAAGCTTGACAGCAACAAAAACGGGAGAATAAGCATTCAATTAAACTACTAAGATTTGAAAGGCCAGGATTAGGAACTGACGATCAACCCTGCAACATTGCAAGCACGCAAGCACGCACACACACGAGCACATGCTAGAGGGTTTTTATTATTATTATTTTCTACCACAGACGTGGCCACACGTTTACAATGCTAACCAGCATATATACATTTTCTTTTGTCCTCCATGGACAGGGTGAGAGATCTGTTAAATCTATAGTTTAGTGATTTATTGAACAATGAACCACTGAAGGTGATTGTATTGGGGTGGTAGAGGGGTGACGTGCTTGCTAGAGGGTGTGACGGGAATACTTTTGACATGGATGAAACAATTTCTGACAGAAAAATGAGGGGGCGGTAATGAGAGGCAATGTATCAGACTGGAGAAATGTAACAGTGGAGTACTGTAAGTTTTAGTTCGGCCGCCAGTAATGTTCATTGTCTATGTAACCGGTCTACCAAAAGGAATATTTAAACGATTGTCATGTCCTTCAAGATGACCTGGATAAAATAAGTTTATTTCACTTATTGATGAAATTCAACGGGAATAAATACCACGTTATGGAATGTGGAATTGGTGAAAATAAGTCATCTTGAGGTTATCTTGAGATGATTTCGGGGTTTTAGTGTGCCCGCGGCCCGGTCCTCGACCAGGCCTCCACCCCCAGGAAGCAGCCCGTGACAGCTGACTAACACCCAGGTACCTATTTTACTGCTAGGTAACAGGGGCATAGGGTGAAAGAAACTCTGCCCATTGTTTCTCGCCGGCGCCTGGGATCGAGCCCAGGACCACAGAATCACAAGTCCAGCGTGCTGTCCGCTCGGCCGACCGGCTCGCCATACACACAGAACCAATAAATGATGTGGAAAGGCATTAAAGAACTCTGTGGAAGAGACCCGGGGGAGGTCATGAAGAGCAGACTGTCACCAGAGGACCACATAAAGGACACTACGAGAACCATATACTACCCTTTCCAATACATAAGCAGTGAAATACTCAAGAAATTGTTCGCGACTATTGTCAGATCAAAATTGGAATCTGCAGCGGTTGTATGGTGCCCATCTCTCGAGAAGCCCATTAATAAACGAAAAGATTCAGACATGAACAAATCCACAAGGGCCGTGACGAGGATTCGAACCTGCTTCCGGGAGCATCCCAGACACTGCCTTAATCGACTCTTTTGGCCCTTGTGGATTTGTTCATTTGATGCATCACGTTAGAGTGATCTCTGTGTGTAAAGATTCAGACATGTTAGTAAATGGCTTCCAGAACTGACAAAAGAGCAGCGAGGGGAAGCTGGAGGCATTAAAAGTGTCAAAGCGTGAAGATAAGCATGTAATATATAACGAAAAAAACCGAGGAGTACTACGGAAAGATACAAGAAGACCTTAACATGCTCCAGGTGCTGGTAAACAAATGGTTGCTAGAATTCAATCTCAACATGTGTAAGGTAATGAAGATGTGAAAGGGAGACAGGAAACCAGGAGGTATCTACGCCAAAAAAGGGAAGGAAACTACAGGACTCAGAAACAAAAAGCTTTAGGATTGCATATAGTTCCAACACTAACACCGGAGGGTCACATAAAAAGGGATGACATAGGAACAATACGGGGCGCTGGGTCATTAGGTCTTAATAACTATCTATAGGCTCACCATAGCCCGTGTTCGCTACTTGCAACTTTTTATTCCAGGTAGCGAATCTTTAACAACAACAACAACATTAGGTCATTTAGAAACTTAAAGAATTGAAATCAAGGCAATCTATGCAGCCTATGTTAGAACGTTACTGGTATACGCAGCACTGGCCTGGAATCCGCACCTTGCGAAGCATAAAATCCAAACTTAAAAAGTACAGTTTGCAACAAGATTAGTAACAGCTACGGAGATTAAAGTATAGGGATTGGTTAAGGGAACTGAACCTCACAACCCTGCAAGAGTGAAGATATAGAGGGGATATAATCATAGCATACAAGATACTGAGGAGAATAACCAAGGTGGAAAAGGTCATCGTCTTTAAATTGAAAGAAAATAGGCCAAAATAATACAAGTGGAAGCTGGAAACACAAATGTGTCTAAGACATATAAGGATATACAGGTACCCGTGTTTGGGTGGCCACCAAGTGGAATGCGCGGCAAGTTGTGGAAGCCACCTCCATCCACAACTTTAAAGCTAGATGCGACAAAGAATTCGAACAGCAGAATAATTGAATTAAAGCGCCACAGGAATAATAAGGCTAGTAGGTGGGGCATAAAGAGATCACTTTCCCGTAGACACTGACAGGTAAGCTTCATCTGCTTCGACTTTTCTCATTAACTTTGCATCATCGCCATATAGGATTCAACTCCTGGCGGTATGTCATTAACAGTAATGAGCAATAGTATAGGTCCCAGCACCGGTCCCTGAGATACTCCGCTTGATACTGCCAGTCTGACTCCTCACCCCTCACTATGACTGTCTGATGACTGTCTGTTAGGTACTCTCTTATACATATCAGAGCTCTTCCACTTTCTCCTGTCTGCTTCCCAAGTTTATGTATTAGTCTCTTGAGTGTAACTTTGTCAAAGACTTTAATTAAGATTCAGATATCCACAACTTGGCCAACCGTCTTTGTCTTACCTTATTTTTGTTACTTTGTCACAGTAATTCTCTACGTTAGTTAGGCACAATTTCCCTTCCCTAAAGCTACATTGGTGCTTGTTTACATATCTGATGCTTTCTACGTATTTAACTAACCTTATCCTTACTATCCTTTCGAGTACCTTTCTGAGGACGCTTGTCAGTGACACTGTCCGTAGTTTAGAACCACCTCCCTGTCTCCTTCTTATATATATTGGTACATTTGGCTCTTCTGACAGCTGGGTAAATCTTCCTTAATTAACTCTTTGGAGACCAGAGCTAGAAGAATGCTTAGGGCCTGAGCAGCTCCTTTTAACATCCACGTTGAAATATTATCTGGTCCCGTGGTTTTATTTTCATCTAATGATGCTAGTTGTGTCATTATTACCGTCAATAAAGATTGCATGTGACACAAACAAGTTTACAACTTTATACTGGCATTTTAAGTTCACATGCATCGATTATTTTATTATTAAGGTAAAATAATGCAGCAAGGTACAGCCATGTTTTTTGGTGTCATTGTAAGCAACTTAAGTGTATTTATCTCCAGCCAAAATACTTATACGGTGATTTATAATTACTTTTTTTTTTAATAATGCGCTTAATGTATGATCCGTGAAGGTATGGCTCAGGCAGGGAAGAGAGAAAAGCGTGGCTATAACCAGGCCGAGGACCAGGCCGAGGACCAGGCCGAGGAGCAGGCCGAGGACCAGGAAGTGTGAGGGAAGTGTATGCCTACAACCCACCAGAGTACCTCGACCAGCCAAACACAATCCTCGATAATCTTACCTATAAATATTTTTCAGGAAATCGACTACTTCAGCTGGAGTCCTAACAAATGCAAAATCTCTCCCCAACACAAGTATACCTGCGGACCACTCACGTACTGTGCTGGGCGGGAGGCGCCGCAGTCAACGCTGTCTATGGCGTATCACTATGGGCGTATGTTGATGTGTGTCACAGTTAACGCGCTCTGTGGCACTATGGGCGTATATGTTGATGGTGAAGTTGAGGAAGTGTGTGAGAGTGGGGCGGCATCAGCTACTTGAGCACCTCCCTGAAGTGGGTGTTCGCCACGGAATCCGAGGCGTTCGACCCTCAAGAAGCCCAAGAGCCGACAGTTTATTTACATATTCTTTACCGGACACATAAGCGGGCTTATCACCTTACTGCAGCCACACGCGCCTGTCACCCGCTACTTGCGGCCTCTGCCTCGCTCAAGATCACAGGTCTGCCAGCTGACTATATCCCTGCCTAAATATAATTCACTCGCATCTACTCTCTATTTCCACACAGTGGCATGCCATGTTAAAGCCTTACCTGTATACGTTCAGACAGATGCTGGGGAACTTGGAGATGTGGAGGAGGTACACTTGGCTTCGACTAAGCGATTTTCAGCTCCCAACTGATGTCTCTCTCTCTCACTCACAAACAGCACAACCCGCACCGTCGGCCGGGTGTCTCTCTACCACCGACTGATGTATATATTCCCCAACTAGGAGTAAAAGAGGTACGCACTTGGAGGCTGGGTGTTGGTGCGGGGGAGGGGCCCAGTAACTGCTCAATGGGGGCCAGGAGAGGTGGCTGCTGCTGCTGCTGCTGCTGGGTGCCAGGGCCTGACTGGCTCTCTGGGCAGGAACAACCCACCGCCTCAATCCACCACCTCCTCCTCCTCCTCCTTCTCCTCCTCCTCCTTCTCCTCCTTTCTAGCCCTCCTTGTTCTTCCTCCTGCCCATGTGACGTAAAGAATAATGGCTGGTATGTGGGTTAGGGGGAGGGAGGGAGGGAGGGAGGGAGGGAGCGTGGAGAGGCAATGGAGAGTGAGAGATATATAGGGATGATGGAGTTGAGCACATACGAGCAACAAGAGACGAGGTGGAGCCTCACTCCATATGTACTTTTACAACTAGATATGATAGAAAGCATATGCAAGAATTGCAATCTAACATAATGAATGCCTTCATAAATATGAACAAGGAGTCACTCAGAACTCTGTATGCCACATGAGTTAGACCAATCCTGAAATATTCAGCACCAATGTCGAGTCCATATCTCAGTTTAGTTTACGTCAAACACAACACGATCTGGATCAAGTGGAAAGCAATGCCTCCGGGCTGGTCCCAGAGCAGTGACATGAACCAAAGGGAAAGACTAAGGCAACTGAGACCTGATAGCTACATACAAATTACTCAGGGGAGTCGACAAAACATTTTTTTTTATTTTTTTTTATTATTTTCTACCACAGACGTGACCACACATTTACAATGCTAACCAGCATATATACATTTTCTTCTGTCCTCCATGGACAGGGTTAGAGATCAGTTAAACATATAAAACAGTGGCAGGCTACTTGACGGGGATTTTGGAGTGGTGGACGGATGGACTCTATGATACCTGGTTGATACCTGGTTGATGGGGTTCTGGGAGTTCTTCTACTCCCCAAGCCCGGCCCGAGGCTATGCACGGATTCAAAAGAAGATACGACAGAACGTAGAAGGTTCGGAACATGTTTCGCTCGTTGATCGAATATTATTAAAAGACGGAACCTGGGAGGTGAATTTGAAGGCTGGAATTCGAGAAGGGTGCGAACACCCACCTTACACCCAACACTACCTTACATGTGGCGAGAGCAGCCCGTCCTCCAAAAATGGGGAGGTAAATATAGCAGCACAAGTAAGTGTAATTATGTATTATTCCTAGCAGGCAGGAATTGTGCTTATTTTCACTTAGTATTAAACCGTACTGTCAAATATATTGTGAATATTTGAGTTTACCCGGAAAGATGAATAGAAAACCACGACCTAACCTAACCTTCTTAGTGTTTGAAGATAAGCAAGTTATTACTTCTTAATTACAATTAGATCTTAACCTATAGCTATAATTATATTACAGTTTTATAGAACTAATAAAACAAAACTAAAATATTTCAATAAATTGTAAAGTAACTCAGGATATTTTCAAATTTTGTATAAAATCTCTATTGTTTAATAAAACTGAAAAAGAAATTCCTGATATTTAAAACTTGTGTATAGTGAATTGAACTTGTAAACTTCATCCTAAAATTCTGAGTGTCTTCACAGAAAACGAGGAGAATAAATGGGGAGGTAAATATAACAGCCCCATAAGTGCAATTATGTACTATGTATGACAGTCAGGAAATGTACTTATTACAATTAGTATTAAACCGTACTGTCAATTCGGAGGATGGGTTGCACGAGAGAGCAGCAGCTGCTGCTCTCTCGTGAGCTCGAGAGCTCTCACAATCAGTGTAGGCATGTAGACCATGCCTACTCTGAGCTCAGTACATCACCATAGTCATTATAAACAATTGATGCACAGAGCAAGAATTTCACAATTTCCTTTGTATGGTAAACGGCTCACATAAATATTATCCAACAGATGACACACACGAGGCAACTAAAGCTGGATGTAAAAACTTGACTTTGTATCTTCTTGTGTGTGTAATTTTCACATTTTTCACACAAAATGTGTTTTGTGTGAATTTTTTCCAGAATGTTGTTACTCCTGTAGTTGCCTCTCTCCTTATTTACTCGTGCTAAGTGGCCACTACCGAGATTTCTCCGCCCATTGAGAGTAATATATATATTACTGAATTTGACAGAAAGGTTAAGAGCGAATCTTCTCTAATTTTATGTACGTGAGAAAAAAGTTGAAAATGAACTCTCCAAAGTTCATTTTCGTTAACTCTTGTTAAAATTACCAAGGGCAGAGTTCGAATGGTTACAACGTTTCCTGCTGCTGGATGAGGGATGAGGTGAAGGATGAGCCGAGGATGAGGTGAAGGATGAGCCGAGGATGAAGTGAAGGATGAGGTGAAGGATGAGCCGAGGTTGAGGTGAAGGATGTGCATAGAATGAGCAGAGGATGAGCGGAGGATGAGCAGAGGATGAGGTGAAGGATGAGCGGAGGATGAGGTGAAGGATGAGGTGAAGGATGAGCGGAGGATGAGGTGAAGGATGAGCAGAGGATGAAGTGAAGGATGAGCCGAAGTTGAGGTGAAGGATGAGGTGAGGGATGAGCCGAGGATGAGGTGAAGGTGAAGCACCTCGCTCATGGGCCAGCAGGTGGTCCATTGCATCTTAACAACCTCCTGTTTGCATGATGGCTAAGGGCCATTATGTTCTATGTTCCTTAGTGTTCTAGTATGTTCTGAAGCTGGCAAAGTGTAATTTGGTGTTAGTTGCCTGTTGATAGATGGCTTGGTTTGTTGGATGCATAATGCAAGGCATGGCAAATTCACGGCTTTGCATCAATGTAAAAATACCAATCTTATGTAATCTCACCAGCCAAGTGTACCTTTTTGCAAATAAATTATTAATAAAACTGGACCTATATATTTAGAAAAGTAATTTGTTACAGTACCGCGAGCAACACCTCGCCCGAGTGGCCGCATAACACACACACTATACAAAGTTTGGACAATTGGTTCGAGATACCAAAGTGGGCTTAAAGTGGATCAGCCTCACATGTGCCAGTAGGCCTATTGTTGTGCTTCTTCATTTGATGTTCTTTTTTTTTAAAGATGGCAGAGAAGAGAAAGTCTGGGACAGGACCCAGGGACAAGAGAGCAGGAGTCAGGGACAAGAAGACTGGGGTAGGTGTATAATGTGTCATGAATTGAATATAACCTTATTGGTCATGATGGCTTCATGACGTGTCCATCCTCTCTACTACCACCACCACCACCACCACTACCACTACCACTACCATCACCACCACCATCACCATCACCATCACCACCATCACCACCACCACCTTCATCACCGTCACTACCACTATCACGATTATCATCATCACTACTACTCCCACTATCACCGTACCTACCACCATCATCAGGAGGTTTCCAATTGGAGGAATGCAACGAGTGGGGTCCCACAAGGCTCGGCTCTGGTCCCGTTGCTGTTCCTAATTTATGTGAATAACCTTCCCAGGGGAGTGAGCTCGTGCGTGTCAACGACTGCACAGAGCGCAAAGTTAATGAGGAATCTAAAAACTGAGAAGTACAGAAAGTTACAGGAAAACCCTTAACAACAACCATAAGTGAACAAACAAATGGTTACTAGAATTCATTCCCAATAAGTGCATGGTAGCGAAGATGGGAAAGTGAGAAAGAAGACTAGGAAGTATCTACACCACAAGGGGAAGGCAACTACAAGAATCAAAAAGAAAAGATCTGGGAGTGAAAATAATTCCAGCCCTTATCGCCAGAGGCACACATAAAGTGGGTAACATCGGCAGCATGTGGAAAGCTGGCAAACATTTAAACGTTACTAAGAACCATAAATAGGAACTCTATCAGGGCAAGCTATACAGCCTATGTTAAATTGTTACTTTAAAATATGCATCAAAAGCCTGGATTCCGCATTTTTATTGGTTTAAAACTAAAACTGAAAAAGGCAGAAGTTTGCAACAAGATTAGTGCCAGATCTAAGAGAACTAGGCTATGAGGACAGATTATGGAAGGGGTTCTTAACCTTTCTAAGATTACAGACCCCAGTGGATTACCCAATGTCCTCAAACCCCTTTCCCCGGAGGGTTGAAATCGTCATCATTATGTCCTATAGGTTACCAAGATGACTTCAAAAGATGCCAATAGCTTGATTTTCCTTATATATGGATAGCCAGGAACAGAACAGCTGAAATAAAATCATAGATTGTTTCATATTTATTTATAGAAAAACGGCAAATCACAAATACACAAGCTACCTACTAGTGAGATTTGTAGATTTTGTGCAATCAAAACATGGAATCGAAGAACAATTACTAACGGTGATAGTTAATTCTAATCTAGCAAACCTTTGGTTAAATTGTTCAGAAATTGAGTCCCATAGCTCCATTTTTCATACGTCCCCATTTATTAAGAACCCATGGGTTAGTGAAACTAAACCTCACAACCATATAAGGGAGAAGAAACAATGGAATTATGATCACAACATAACAGATACTAAGGGGAATAGATATGGACAAGGACAATCTCTTTAAATTGAGAGAAAGTAGGATAAGAGGACATGAGGGAAGCTGGAAATGTAAATGATTCGAAGAAATATAAGGAGATACTCATACCCTGTACTTGTAGTCAACAAGTGGAATCCCCGGAAAGAAGAAGTTGTAGAAGCCACCTCTATCCACAGCTTTAGGGTCATATTCGATACATAATTCGAATGTCAAAATTGTTAAAATATAAAGCAGTAAGTACAACGAGGCGGAGTATTAGGCGGCGTGGTACAGCCAGTATAAGGCAGAGCATAAGAAGCTAGACCACACCTCCTCCGGTCACTGATAAGTAAGCACACTCAGGCAAGTACCACGAGCACCACCGTCAGCACAAGAGCGTGTGCCAGAGCCCACTTCCAAAGCACCTGTAGTGCTTGAGATGCTTCCTGTAACCTCAGACAGGTCCTGGCGCCCCCCTCTCACCCACTCCACCAGGCCTTTGTTTCCTCAAGTTTCTAAACCACGTCCAAAAAGAAGCTTTTTCCTGTCTATACGTGCGAGTGCTTCAAGCTGCTCTTGAAACGGGAATAATGATATCTATGTTGATGTTTATAGTGCTGTCGTTCCTGGGCTATTGACGTCTATTGTATTACCGACCTGGGGATGTTGACGTCGATTATATTACTGTCCTGGTCCAGGACACTACTCAGGACAAGGCCCAGGGTACGATCCAGGACAAGGCGCTAGGCAGACATTGGTTGTGTGAATCCTCAACATCACTAAATAAGTAATATATATATATATATAAACATTCCCAGTGACTGAACCATGATCGTGGCCGACGTACGAAACCAGGCAGAGACCGTGGAATGTCAGGCATGTACTAACAACGATGGTACAATTACTAATTATTCTTACTGCCAATATAAATTACTTTTTGAAGGCCCGGGGGCGCGGAGCAGCTGTGATAAGCGACATCCCGGCTGCCCGCGCCCTCTGCCCGGGCCTCGTCATGGGCAACCTCACGGACTCGCTGCTGTCGGATCACCACTCTACCCTCTCTATACGCCTCCCGTGTTCTCCCTAGTCCATGTTCTGGACATCACACCAAGAACCAAAGGCATAAATAATGCCGGAGACTGTACATGAAGCGTTCGGTCACGGTCGGTACAATACGCTGACCATAAGGGTATCGTTGCCAACAACTTTGTGGGCAACTCTCGGCCTAACACTGCTCTTCAATAAGTGTTAGAATAACTTCGGCTAATACTTGTAATGTTAGAAGGATAATGTGTTTAACATATATCCTCATCCAACTGCGCTCGCGTTGTGCTTCATGTTTGAAACATTAACATTGTTCCGACTTGCAAGTTGTGTAAATATTGCGAAAACTGGTCCTCAGTTCTTTGAAACGCGGGAGCGGGAGCGGCCTTCACATATATTATTGCAACCAGGGAGTGTCCGGGGCTTACGGCGTTGTGGTCGGGTGAAGAGGAGTGTCGGGGGCCGACGGTGTAGTGGTCGGGTGAAGAGGAGTGTCGGGGGCTGACGGTGTAGTGGTCGGGTGAAGAGGAGTGTCGGGGGCTGACGGTGTAGTGGTCGGGTGAAGAGGAGTGTCGGGGGCTGACGGTGTAGTGGTCGGGTGAAGAGGAGTGTCGGGGGCTGACGGTGTTGTGGTCGGGTGAAGAGGAGTGTCGGGGGCTGACGGTGTAGTGGTCGGGTGAAGAGGAGTGTCGGGGGCTGACGGTGTTGTGGTCGGGTGAAGAGGAGTGTCGGGGGCTGACGGTGTAGTGGTCGGGTGAAGAGGAGTGTCGGGGGCTGACGGTGTTGTGGTCGGGTGAAGAGGAGTGTCGGGGGCTGACGGTGTTGTGGTCGGGTGAAGAGGAGTGTCGGGGGCTGACGGTGTTGTGGTCGGGTGAAGAGGAGTGTCGGGGGCTGACGGTGTTGTGGTCGGGTCAGCAGTGACCTGGTGATTCCATCACCTGTATATGTCCTGTGGCTGCTTGAAGTTCCTTCATTAAAAATATCATCATATATGGTAAACGTACAAATCCACAAGGGCCGTAACGAGGATTCGAATCTGCGTCCGAGAGCATCCCAGACGCTGCCTTAATCGACTGAGCTACGACATGGTCAAAAGGAGTTGAAACCGAAGTTCTACTGAACTTACTGGATCCTGCAGCCTCTCCGAGGAACAAACCAGGTTTTTACACAACTCCCCCCATGCACTCGAGCTATGTCAATAGGCCGTTCTCCCTCTTCGCCCTTACTTCATTACACACAGAAATCACAATTGCGTGATGCATCAAATGAACAAATCGGCCTATTGACATAGCTCGAGTGCATGGGGGGAGTTGTGTAAAAACCCTGGTTTGTCTCGCGGAGAGGCTGCAGGATCCAGTAAGTTCAGTAGAACTTCGGTTTCAACTCCTTTTGACCACGTAGCTCAGTCGATTAAGGCAGCGTCTGGGATGCTCTAGGACGCAGGTTCGAATCCTCGTGACGGCCCTTGTGGATTTGTTCATTTGATGCATCACGCAATTGTGATTTCTGTGGTAAACGTAGTGACATCATAGTCAACACTATCATAGTGTTTGGTGTCATTAAATCTATATACAACTTTGTATCTACTACTAATAAAACTACTATCCAATTTATGCCCATTGTTTCGTGTTCTGTCTTGTGTTGATACTTTTAATTCCCTATTAATATCCTCTTTGTTATGTCCATTCATCCACTTGTAAACATAAGAACATAAGAACAAAGGTAACTGCAGAAGGCCTATTGGCCCATACGAGGCAGCTCCTATTCTATAACCACCCAATCCCACTCATATACTTGTCCAACCCGTGCTTGAAACAATCGAGGGACCCCACCTCCACAATGTTACGTGACATGATTAAACCTCAATCATGTCACTTTAACACATTAAAGACTATCAGAACTGCAGACTACTTCCGGTTGGGTTAAAGAATTCATAAGCAGAATTGAACATTCAACTGTACAACGCTTGTATGTCTTACAACTTTACAACGTTAAGACTTGTATGTCTTTACAACTTTACAACATACGTATAAGTTGTATGTCTTACAACTTTACAACGCTCATAAGTTGTATATCTTACAACTGTATAACGCCTATATGTTCTTAGTCCTACAACTGTATAATGCTCATAAGTTGTAAGTCTTACAACCGTATAACGCTCATAAGTGTTGTTAGTCACCTTAGAGTCAAAGGTTAGACACTGAAAACCCAACATAAACAGTTGTTTAAATCAAAATGATATCTTCATGTATGCACATGTTCAATATGATAAGAACATAAAACAGAGCATCTATTCTACCTCATAATGTGGCTAGTCACTGTTATTGTTTCTTCTAGATTTGCAGATATATTATGCCGATCTTAAGGGTAATGAACCTATTTAGGCATAAAAAATGTGAATGTGTGTGTGCTTTTGACAATGCAACATTATGTTAAGTAAAAAGTTAACGATTTCTTCGGTTACTTTCAAGTTAAACACAGAAAAACAAATGTCACAGCAATATAAGTATTAAGGTCTTAAGTTACTAAAAATATTGACTACGTCATAAGAGTGAGGGTGAGAGGACCGGCTGGCCACCTCAGCAAATCTTAAGGGATTATCACCCGGGCCCGGCCACCACTCACTCATATTCGTTCACCTTCAACACGCGGACCCCATGGAGACCAGGTTAACAACACCAGCGACTCTCAAACTTCATTATGAGGTTAACGGCAGTGCTTCTACTAATGCATTATGAGGTGAGGTTAACGGCAGTGCTTCTACTAATGCATTATGAGGTGAGGTTAACGGTAGTGCCTCTACTAATGCATTATGAGGTGAGATTAACGGCAGTGCCTCTACTAATGCATTATGAGGCGAGGTTAACGGCAGTGTATGGGACGAGGTTAACAATGACTCAACTATTGGTTAATAAGACGAGACTCGCTTAACTACAGTTATAAACCTATGATCAACTTTTTCCTCTCAGAGATACTCTAATTATATAATGGCGTATTATTCTTGACTTAGATTTAAATATTCTTTGAAATGTATTTAGTTTTTTTTACATTTTAGCAATATTTTGTTATATCTGAACTTCAAGTTCAAGTATGTTTATTGAGACAAGAAAGAAATACATCTCAAAGGGATAGAGTAGCTTAGGCTATTTCTACCCCCCTATCTGAACTTAATAGAAGCCGCCTCGTATGGGCCAATAGGCCTTCTGCAGTTGCCTTTGTTCTTATGTTCTTAACTTACCTTACCTTGAGGTTACCTTGAGGTGCTTCCGGGGCTTAGCGTCCCCGCGGCCCGGTCGTCGACCAGGCCTCCTGGTTGCCGGACTGATCAACCAGGCTGTTGGACGCGGCTGACAACTTGACACAAAGTAACGTAGGCATTTTAACCAAGCTATTTTATTTCAACCCATCCTCCTAAAAATTAAAGTACTTATAGTGACTATGTGGACGAAAGTACAAATATGTCGTGATGGACCACCAAAATAGTAGACTTTTTGTATTCTTGAATTTGGACAAAACCGGCAAAATTTATAAATGTACGGTGCTAATAAAACCTAACCCAACCATCCTAGGTCTAATGCACGCTATTTGAGGCCTAATATACAGCCCATCCTCCTGTTTTGGTAGTACTTGTAGTAACCATGAGGACCATCGTTATTCCCATCGTTATGGGAGCCGGTCGGCCGAGCGGACAGCACGCTGGACTTATGATCCTGTGGTCCTGGGTTCGATCCCAGGCGCCGGCGAGAAACAATGGGCAGAGTCTCTTTCACCCTATGCCCCTGTTACCTAGCAGTAAAATAGGTACCTGGGTGTTAGTCAGCTGTCACGAGCTGCTTCCTGGGGGGTGGAGGCCTGGTCGAGGACCGGGCCGCGGGGACACTAAAAAAGAAAGCCCCGAAATCATCTCAAGATAACCATAGTATATATATACCAACGTACAACGAAATTAGAAAGTAGAAATCTGAACTATTGAGTTGGACAAACCGGAAAACTATTTTGTACTTGTGTTGCTTTGACAAACTAAACTAGCTTATCCTAACCTCCCTTGGCTTAATAACACGATATCTGAGGCCTAATATAGTACATATGTACATATACTAGGAATATGTAAGTCTGTGTTTAAACTTTATTTTTTCCGGACTTTATAAAAAAAATGGTACAAAAAGTGGCTTAGTGGAGCTCCATTACTACATGTTGGTACGATTGACTACATAGTTACAAAAGTAATGTCATTTCCGGAGGATGGGGTGTAGTAATTCTTCAATAAAATAATATATTAAAATGAGTAGTCTGAGGTTATGAATAGTTTGTGAGATCCCTTAGAGGCACCACAAAACACAGAGTTAAGCAAGAAGGGCTCCAAGAAGGTAAGAATATCCCGGCCTGCTCTTGGGCTTGTGATGATCCAGCAGCAAATGTCAGCAGCCAGTTTATGGCTCTTGTATCAACCTAGTTATGCTTTCTCTGTATCTTCCTGTTCGCCGCCCTCTTGTCTGTCTCTCTTCTGACCTATATCTTACTACTACTTAAGCTTAGATGTCATTATCCTTGACCCTTTACAGACATTTACTGCAATATTTGGGTCTGGGGTGCATCAGGTGCTGCTAGTGGTGCAGCCCATCCTCCTGAGCGTTCCTAACCTCAATAAACTATATGAACATAGAACATAAGAACAAAGGCAACTGCAAAAGGCCTATTGGCCCATACGAGGCAGCTCCTATCTATAACCACCCAATCCCACTCATATACATGTCCAACCCGCGCTTTAAACAATCGAGGGACCCCACCTCGACCACGTTACGCGGTAATTGGTTTCACAAATCAACAACCTTGTTACCGAACCAGTATTTACCCAAGTCTTTCCTAAATCTAAATTTATCCAATTTATACCCATTGTTTCGTGTTCTGTCTTGTGTTGATATTTTTAATACCCTATTAATATCCCCTTTGTTGTGTCCATTCATCCACTTGTAAACCTCTATCATGTCACCCCTAACTCTTCGCCTTTCCAGTGAATGCAATTTAAGCTTTGTTAATCTTTCTTCATATGAAAGATTTCTAATTTGGGGAATTAACTTAGTCATCCTACGTTGGACACGTTCAAGTGAATCGTACTAGAGTGCCCTTATCCTAACCTACCAGAGGACCCAGTAACTACCCGCCGCAGCACGGAGCAAGGCACTCCTCTAACAGCAGTACACCGTGCAGTAATTAATGCAGCCTAGGGCAATGGCAAACACGTAATTGCAACTAAAATCTCTCTAACTCAATGTAAAATTATTCCTAATTACTGATACTTTTCAGTAACATAATTGATGCACTAATTAAACACTTGACCTAATTACTAAGTACAAAAGAAACACCGAAGGATACTTACCGCTATCTGAGGAGAGCGGCGCGCCTCCTCCTTGGGTGCAAAACTCACACTGGTATGACCAGGGGGTTTGGGGCTCCTCGCGCCCGGCCGCGTCGCTACACAAATAATTTCATATTAATATTACTAGATACAACTGTATGTCCCTACTGTCAGTAATAAATTATGTTAAAACATGTAATCAAGGAGACAGAAGTATCAACAAATAATGTCATGCTGCAAAGTTGGTCTAAATGAAGTATACGATATTATGTGGAGTCTCACCTGAAATGTCCCTTATCGGGCTGTTGCCACATTTCTCAATCATCTGCCACAACAGGGGTATGCTCCTGAACATAGCCTTGTCATTCCACCAGATAATGTTACAGTAGTCACATATATTTAATACCTCACAACATAAACACAAGAGTCAACTTGACTCAATATCTATCTCCACTATAGGCTCCAAACCGAAGACATATTTAAATGTCAGTCAAAAACTGGCACCGTTGCTTGCCTCCCAGACATTGTGTTGTCAACCGACTTGCAGCTGGTCTCGCAGATATAACCGCCCAACTATCCTATCATGTCATTGTATTCACAAACTTAATTACTCTACAATTATTTCCAGAGACACACATGTGAATTTACATACCACACCAACGTTATTAAAATTTTGAGATGAAAATCTCATATGCAAATTTAAATAGCCTAATGCTAATCTCATTACCGCTCGATTGACATCACTATTTCATCTTTAACAAAACCACCTATGTATGCAGATTCATTTCCAAACAGTATTCACATTAGATATGAATTTTAAGGTAATCTCTGATGTTCTATGCAAATTAAAATAGCTTGCTGCTCAACTGATTACGCAGATCCCTGCAGGTCTTAACAATAACACCAGAGAATGAGCATAAATATATGTTTTCTTTGTTCCAGAGATAAAGGTTTACATATAAAAATGTGTGTGGCCATGCGCGGGAAAAAAGATATTCAATGGTTTGTCATTTCCTTCTGTGTCTTTAAGTTCTAACAAGGCATCTATAACGAGACATATTTTCCCTCTCTCTCTCTTGACGTCATCTTGGTGTTGCAAGGTACGCTAGAAAGCTATACAATTTTACCTCTCCGTTTAGGGGAAAAATTAACACTCACCTTTGAGAATTCAGGCAATGAATGGGCCCAGTGTTTCCTGCTTTAGGAATCCTGGAGATAAGGTTACTTCTTCCATCGGTCAATAAGCAGCCTTCTTGTGTTTCTTTGTCTTGGCTTTTGTCTACCAATTGAAGACATGTTGTCTCAGAGATTATATTTTGTTAAATAATTTATGTTAACACTTTCTTAATCATATCGTTCTTAGTTACATTATTGTAGCTTATTATTATTATAAGAGAAGTAAGTAACCTGCAGTGATTCCTCAATTTCCAGCGTAATTTATGAAACTTAACATTCCCCCTCACATAAGACTAAAACTGACGTACACAGACGTCAACATGACCCCGAACAGATATTACTGCACGTGGCACTCAACGTGACATTACTCTGACATTAGACGGTAACGTGACCGTCAAATGATAACCTTTAGTTGGGCAGTTAACATGTTACGTTTGGCTTACGTTTACATGACACTGGACAGACGTTAACGTGAATCTGGACAGGTTATATTGGACAGACGTTAACGAGACGTTGGCCAGATGATAAGAAGTTAAAGTTGCTACATACAGGCAACATGTGAGATCTGAGGACCTTGAACAATATCAACACATATTCCTTCTGCATATCTGAAATATTCTAAACAAACGTAGAGTGAATGACAGCCGCGCTTGAAGAAACCGGAGTGAGGCTTCATGCAAGACTGACGAATCAATTCTAAAGAGAGTGCAGGAATGACATGTTGAGTGGGTGCCATGGAGGTCACGAGGTACATTTTCTTGCATTCTGCATTAATTCCGGCATACTAAAGGATTTTTTTAAGATTATGCCATCTATTTATGGGCGAAGTGCTGTGTCTGAGCACCCAGCAGGGCAACAGCTACGTGTCTCAGCAGGGAAGCAGCTGCGTGTCTGAGCACCCAGCAGCTGCGTGTCTGAGCACCCAGCAGGGCAGCAGCAGTAGACTCTGCTGTCAAGAGGTGTTGTACAGTACCGTCCCAGACATGTAACCACCTATACATCAGCATGACCCCAGTTCAACTGTTCACCTCTCTCGACTTCAGGCTACTCTTGCAGTTTTCCTTCCATTGACGTGTAACACTATGAACGAGTTCCACCTTATGGGAAAGAAATACATTAATATTTTGTTAAAGGGCAGTAGGAGCAGAGCACACTCATTCCTAGAACTATGTGAATTCGCCATCACGAGAGGTATAGGGGGCAGCCGCGCTTGAGGCCGCGGTGTTGCAATGTGTGTAGTAACGTCAGGGGCCGTTGGCTGCAGGCTTCCAGCGGGAACCCAACACCATGCACCATTAATGCTCAAATTTATAGGACAGGAACGGTGTTTTTTTTGTTTTCCTAATTTTACTTACCTAATTGTGCTTGCAGGGTGGTTGTGCTCTGGTCCTCTTTGGTCAGGTTTGCAAATCTATTAGGCTCTATCATATATACATTTGAACCCCGTTTATGGCGTCAAACTTCCAACACTTCACTTCTTAGATAGTGACTTCCTTTTGTTCACTTCTCTAATATGCAACAATTTATCTATAATGACTATATAGCTTGTTTGAGGTACTCATTTTCCGGCTGTGTTCTCGTCTTCGTGTACCACCTATCACAAATAGTCTGTCCTTGTCTGCCCTATCAGTTCCGTTGAAAATTTTGTACATAGTAATAATGTCCACTCTAGCCCTTCTGTCATCGAATGACGTGATGGTTAATTCAGTCTTTCCTCGTAATTCATACCTCTCAGTTGTGGGGCTGGTCTGGTACACTTAACTCTGGACTTTCTCTAACTTCGTGTTGTGTTTTGCAAGCAGATTTCTAAAGGCAGTTCTTATGCTGACCAAATTAACATATGCCACAGGAACTGGGACATAATCCCCCACACTACATCACCGAATGCCCAGTGATGGGCATTCGGTGATGCCCATCACTGGGCATTCTATGACGTCGAATCAGACCATTCAGACCCGTTGGCATGATGTACTTGGAGTTGTTCAATTACTTTATTCACTCTCGTGTTCTTGAGGATGTCCTCATATTGCACCCAAAATTTGCTAGTGCAGGCTACTGAACATATGGCCCTGTATGACTAACCATCCTGCGAGACGGGAATTTTCAGTATCACTGTTACCTTATTCATTCTTGTATTCATGATGATATCCTCATAATGCACCCAGAGTTTGCCAATGTAGACTACTGATCACATGTTTCTGTATGACTAACAATCCTGTGTGCTGGGGATTTTTAGCATCACGTAGCTAGTTTTTTGACACGATGTACTTCCCCTTCATATAGTCTAGGGTAGCTGCACAAATGAAGATGTCCCTAAATGCGTTAATAAAAAAAAATTGGTAATATCAGTTTGACGTAGGCTTCTGGAGACAGGCTCGATATGATACCAACTCTCAAGTCTTTCTTCCTGATACTTGTGTGTGTGTGTTTCGTGAAAGTTATTAATAAGTGAGTTTACCTAACTCAACACCAACCTCTCCATCATCTCCAGTAAATTTTGTCTAATTGGAAAGCTGTGAAATAAACCTAATTGGCATGCAAGTTAACTGCCATCATTATTATTTATTATTAGTAGTAGTAGTATTATAGTATATATCTTATTATTATTATTATTATTATTATTATACCGTATTACTATTACAATTATTATTTATATTGTTAATATTATTAAAGAATGGCGCGCATGAACACAAAACCAAAATAACTACATTTTATTTTAGTCCTTGTCAGGGATCACAGAAGTTGCGTCACTCAACACTGGAATAAATGTGGGAATAAATATAGGAGAAGGAGGAATGAATAAATCACAAAGTAGAGTGAGTGGTAAACATGTGGAGGACGGAGAGACAGGCGGGGGGGGGGGGGAGGAGGAGGCACTGTGATGACGTCACGGCATCATGGCAGGCAGCTGGGGTGTCAACAGTCGGGTGGGGGGGGGGCCTCCAGGTATGTTGTGTCTAAACATACACCCGAGTATGTACACACCCTCGCAGGTGGCAAGCTCGGTGAAGGCACAGGTGTCCTCTAGCGCAGTGGTCACAGGGCAGTCGGCTCACAAGAGAATGCAAGCACCAGGCTCGATTCTTAAGCAGCGTAATGAACAGAATTGAGGCGAACAAGAACAACAAAGTGAACAAAAGGGGCTCTGGACCTGTTATCGTGCCAGCACCGGCAATCATATTAAAACAATTTTTGAGCTGTCGCACACGTAACTAGCTTATGCAAGGTTGCTCAACATAAAAATGACCTTTTAGAAATATGAAAAAAAGGACTCGTTCAAAACCTTGTATTCCACATGTCAGACCAATCCTGGAATATGTTGCTCCTGCGTGGAGGTCGTGCATCAGACTAGTTAGTCTTGGAGCTGAGAGGTATGTGTTACGAGGAAAGACTACTAGAATTAAACATCTCATCACCGGAAGACAGAAAGGTGGTATCTTCAATTACAACCCCGTTCCTGTGCCAGGTAAGTCCACTACGGGCTCACCATAGCCCGTGCTACTTTGGAACTTTTGTTCTAAGTAGCTGAATCTAAAAGCAAGAACAACGACAGAAAGGTTACAGGGAGGACATGATTACCACGTACACAATTATCAGGGGAATTGATAACTGTAGATTGATATTTGGAGAAATCCTCTTCCAATTAAACCAAGATGTAAGAGCACTAGTCAGAGGGATAGAAGCCCTAAACAAGAAAATAATCCACACACACAATATGCAGTCACAGTCAGTGTAACATGTCTAAAATGTTTCTGAAGCTCATAACCTCATAAATCTTATGTTTTATGAGGTTGTCTTATGACTTTAGACAACCAACGGCAAAACATACGGAGATCAAGAATTAACAGCTTGATCTTGCAGACACAAATAGGTGAACACACAAACACCAAACTCACACAGTCATACACTAGAATCTCAGAATTTTCTTGGAAAAAAGCTGAGATTCGTATAATTTTCAGAATTACCGCGAGGTGTCAGAACACGACCTAGTAGCCTATTTAGCACTACATTACGAAGACAAGGACATAAACAATGTCGGTTTGAATCGCTTAAACCTTATTATAGTATATGCAAGATCAAGTTCTCTGGTCCCCAGTTACAGGGGTGGGAGAACCTTGCATGAATCATTGAGCTGAGTAGAGAGCTTGTCTGGTTAGTTGCTAGCGGTACCACCATGCAGGGGTCATGGATTACCCATGCATTTTTGTTAATAACATACAACTTCACATCTGCATTATTGTAGCTGCCACAGACTATATAAAGGGTTATGTAGTTTATATCTATGTGATACATAAATCCCGTCGCACAACATGGTTACTTGCACAGGGGCATATAATCACACGTAGCCTCATGTTTGTATTAATATATTTAGGGGCATTTGCATTTATGTAGCTACCCTAGACTATATGAAGAGTTACACAGTGTGTGTCAAGAGCCGGCTATGGGATACTAAAAATCTCCATCTCACAGGATGTTAGTTACACAGGGCCATGTGATAAGTACCCTGTAGTGGCAAACTTTAAATGCATTATCACAGTATCATTAAGACCACGAGAGTGAATAAGGTAACAATGATACTAAAAAAAAAATCGCAGGATGATTAGTCGCTTCAATAATGGTTCACGCTGTAGTTCATGCTGCCAGTTTCAGATGATGGTCAATTATCATAGACCCTTCCCGTTCTCTCTGCCTCCCTCTCCCTTTCTAGCTCTCTCCCGTTCGCTTTCCCAGTGGGCAAAATATGCTCGACTAACATTCAATCTGTTTTCGAAGTTGAATCAACATTATTGACATCGAATCAACGTTATTGATGTCGAATCAACGTTATTGACGTCGAATCAACGTTACTGACGTCGAATCAACGTCAATAACGTTGATGAATCGACGTTATCGACATTGTCAAACACAGCGTCGCTAACATCCATAAAATCTTTGTTAACACTATGGACATCAAATATATACACATTTCAGACTTCATAGGAGTCGCTGGGATTCGGAGTAGGTTCCGATTCTTCTTAAAGAAGAGCATGAGAAGACGACCTCAATCATCCTATGACACTCGCCATGCAATCACTGATCACCCTACGATGTTTGGTGAAGCTAGCCCCAAGCGTCTGGCCCCCAACCTCAGACGGACATTCTCTTATAGATTTTCCACATATTATTTTTAAATAATAATATAGTGGGGTACCACATCTGACTGGAAGGAGGGGACTTACAGCCTCAGAGAAAAGCACAAGCAAAGCATTAGGACACTGCAGGCGTTCTTCCCTCTGGATTGCCACACTGAGGTGCTAACACAAGGAACTGGCAGCTCTTGGGTCTCCGGTGGTGTCAACAAGCCTGGAGCCCAGTTTTTTGAGGAAGCTCAAGGTATTCTTATCCCAGGGTCTGAGCATCTCAGATGCTATGGGAAGAAAGGTGTACTGATTTTCCAGTTGCTTGTACTTGTTTGATTTGGCTATTTCCCTATAGCTGCACCACATGCCCGATCAGCGCTCAAGTGTATATAGGTGTCAGTAAGGGTGGATACACATGTGTAGTCCCACGCCAGCTGTTTGACCTCCTCCAGGGGTATATTATGATGCCATCTAAGCGAAGTGATGGGTCGTCCGGGTTTTGGGCCATTAGGATGTGAGGTTCTCTATCTGCTGGGCACTGAGCTAAGACAAGGCTCCTCTAATGTTGTTATTAACTTCATTGTGTCTTGCACGCCAGCCCTTGGTGCTTCCGCAG